TTCTGTTTGGTTAAGTATAACTGGGATTTAATCAGTCTGAAATAGAATCGTTCTTTGGCCAAAGTTGTAGCAGAATCCCATTGCAGAATGAAGTTTTTGGTAGTACATACCGCACGTGTCCTTGTTTAACTGAACACAGATGACATGTCATCTCCTCTCACGTCTGACGATTTGGCAAGGTTACTGGAGCAATGGTCAGGCACTTGCTGGCAGTGATGACCTTTTGATGAGGATTAATTCTGGAAGAAGATGTGAGAGGAGAAGTTTCCTGGGTGATCCTGGGAGGTACCTCTGCACGGCTGATGAACCGCAGCGACGGAGGTCCTGCAGGACAGGGCTGCTCGGGCGGTGCCCGACAGCTTCCAGGCGCAGGTGATGGCTGGCAGTGTGTAAGGGTTTCTTAATTGCTTCACAAGCAGCAATGGGATAGCCACAGGTTTTTTCTAATATCATCTAATGATGACACTTAAAAACCCATGCAACCTGCAAGATTCAGGAAATTCAGAGGCTGGAGAGTGTATTTTCACCTTAGAGCTGTGCGAAGCTGAGCACACAAGGCTAGCAAAGCCCCCTGCCGTGCTCCCCCCAGCACCATGCCCACCCCACCTCTCCGGCACTGGGCCACGGACACACAGAGTGAGCCAGTCCAGAGAGCTGCCTTGGCAGAAAATTAACCATGGAAGTGAAAAAGAACAGTTTTCCCATGGATCAATATGATGAGCCAGCTTGTCCTATGGTATGACCTAGCACTGGCGTAGGATTTGGGAGGGAGAGGCAGGGTGTGGGACCACCTCTTCTGGGAGGGTTTGCTCTTGTGTCATACCTTAACTGCAGTGAGAAATCCTCCTCTTGAGGAGCTGCCACTCATTGCAATGCCTCTAGCAGCAAAGTCAGCATGAAATGCTCTCAGCTTTCGTCTCCTCCCTCAAGGGTGAGGGAGAGGATGCCAAGAGGATCAGCAAAATGGGCTGGGGCGTTCCTGGGAGCCACAGCATGGATGTGGGAATGACACAGGGGGCTGCAAGGAGCATTTTGCTCTTCTAAAAATGCATCATGTACTTTGCAATTTGCAGCTTATTGTTGCAATATCTGTTGTAATGTCTGTTGTAGCAAGATGTAACAATAGCGTCAGAGGTGATTACACTCTGCTTTTTGTTTTTCATCTGTACTGAAATGGGGAGATTTTTCCTTGGTCAAAAAAAAAGAAATCTCAGCTTGCTCCTGTACTGTGTCGGCTGAGTTCCCACCATTTGCAGAGGTGGGAATCAATGCAGATTTGGTGCTGCAGCAGTGTCTGACAGCCTGACTTAAACGTGCAGTAGGAATATTAGCAGGGCTTAAACGCCTTGAGTTAGGTACGTTAACTAGTCAGCAGTATCGCTCTGCAGGTATGCTACCACCCCCCCCCAAGCTATCTGTGAAACATAAATTAGAGTAGTTGCTGATAGAAATGTGTGATATCAGAACGCTGACCTGAGTTGTTCTTGGAGAGTATCTGGCAAAAACTGCTTAACTTAATCTAGCTGGCTGCTGCCGCCGAGTGACGTGTATCACCAGGACAAAGAGACGATTGCATTTATTTCTGGAGAGGGAAGGTGAAGGCGAGCACCACTGCGCGCGGGGCAGCCGTCCCCTTCCGCCAGCCCGTGTACGTGAACCCCGTCTCTGGAGGGGATCACGCCGGAGGGTGACCTGATCCCCTTTCATCTGGGCCTTCTGGTGTCAGCCTGGGTGACGGGGGCCTGGCACTTCTGTCCCCTCTGCTCCCAAGGGCCGAGGCCCCGGGGCAGGACTCCTCGCCTGTCCTAATTGCTGGCTCTGACTCCGTGCCCGTGGGGAAACGTCATGTAACAGCTCCAGCTGGACAGGGGCTTCTCCTTTGCATTTAAAACCGCTGCCTACGGATGACTGGCTTTTATCCACCAGGCGCTGGTGGCTTCAAAGGCAGATTTCTGGGGCGTGCAGCCGCACTCCTGATGGCGTCTGTGAATTTGCAGAGCTGGAAAGGCCCCGGGAATGTCGCAAGGAGAAATTTCCCAACCGGGGAACCTACACATTGATTTTATGATCGTGATGGAGATAATACATTTAAAAAGAATCACATGGCTTAAAACCAGCTGCATGTCAGACCGTGTTAGGCATTGCATGGGGTAGCACAAGGAGGGAATAACAAATTTAACTTTGCATGGGATTATGTTTGCATAAGTGGCATCAGCTGTGCTGACGGGCTGGTTATTAATTAGCACTCCCACATAAATATTCATCCCAAGTGGAGGCAGCCTGCTAGAACCAAAGCAGGAATATCCACAGTGCCGTGCAGGGTATCCTCTCAGGTGGTTGGATGCTGCGCTCCGATGCGCTGACGCCCGTTCCCAAGCACTGCCGGTGTCTGTAGCCATCAGACACAGGGGTGGGAGGAGGAGTCCCACCAGTCCCACGCACGCCGGTCCCCTGCCCGTCGCAGAATGAGGCCGGGGTGTGCGACAGCCTGGTGGGGTGCCTGCCTGGGGACCAGCGCCTCTTCCAGTGAGTTGCAAGTTGCTTCTTGTCCTTACGTTTGCTTATTGTTACTAATGCTAGGAAGAAATGTGCTAAATAATGTTTTTCAGTTAAATGCTTCCTTCAATTTGTTCTGTTTCTGCAACGTTGCTATTTAATAATGGGCTGCAAACATCAAGCTTACGTGTATTTCATGAACGTGAATTTAATCATATGAAGGGAATGTGAACACTGATGTTTCCTTTGTTGTTTATGAAGATTATGTTTAGGGTTTTTTCTGGAAAGCTAGCCATTAGTGAAATACTGTGAAATCTTTTGTATTTTCTCCAGTTTCTTTGTTCTTCCTAATTTAAAGTGTTGCCTATGTTGTAACATGTCTTTGTTTTCATATAAATTGGGATCAATTACCCAATATTCTGTTTATTTTAAGCAAATAATCATTTGATGATGTGTTACCTTTTCATCAATGCATCCATTTAGATTTCTACCTGCTTAGGTATTTAGCAGAAGGACATCAGGGGGTGTTTCTTTGTTTCATTCAAAGTTAGTAGACCATTGCCTTAATGGAAATTGTTGAAAGCACCTTTAATAAAATGGCACCCAAAGTCCATTTGATTTGCTCCATTTTACTAAAAGAATCTAAATTTTGCTTAACCTTGATACACAATTTCCACGCAGGTATTTATGAGTTGTCCTGCGTTGTCCTTTGGCAAAGGCTGTCTCCTCCCCCAGGGACGATGTGGGATCTCTCTGGGTCCATAGCTCAGTTCTTCCTTCTCGCAGCTACCGCAGGGCAGGATGGCCCCGGGCAGTGCCTGGGCTCTCGCCTATGCCTGGAGCTGCGGAGCTTCCCCGGCACGTGAGGGCAATGGGCCATCCATGGGGTGACCATGCACCTTGCCTGGCCTGGGCCCAGACACAGCCTCCATGGTGTGCAACAGAGGGACATCACGCCCCAACCCACTGTGTCCTCTCCTGTGGAATTTATTTCCCAGCTGTAAGCTGTAATCAACGCCTCTGCCCAAACACACCTAATGGAAGTAATTTCCACCACACACCACTGCTGGGTGTGTGTAAACGGCCAGCACTTGCTTTTGCCCTGGGTGGGCCATTTTTGCAGTAATTGGAAACAAAGTACTTTGAGTGATCTGTTAATTCACAATGTAATTTTTTCCAGGTTTACAGATAAAGCTGTCAAAGATGAAAGTGTTAAATGCAGCTCTCACAAGGCAAAATGTTCTTATTTCAAGCAGGCCACATTTTGAAAACTGATCATTTAAATTAAATGTGTAAAGTCTCAAAAACTTTGGCCAAAAATGTTATGCATGTATGGTGTCTGAAACCAGATCAACAGACATTTTAGGAGATGTATCTGATTTCTTTGTCTCCATAGAGCACATTTGGCAGCCCTGTGGCGTGCAAGTGTAATTAATACTTTATATTCGTGTTTAATGTATATGTGTGCAGTCCAGCTGGGAAGAGCCCAAGATTCTGTTGCAGTGTTGTACATCATCACAGGCACAGAAGAAGATTTTGGGCTGTGCTCAGTAATTTTTCGTTCTTAGGCAGGACACAGGCCACCCACGTCCGAACTCTCTAAACCCTGGTGTAAGCCGCGGGACGTGCCCCCAGCCTGCAGTGCGAGCCGCCCGGCACGCCCCCGAGCGCGGCTCTCCCCGCCAGGGATCCTGGCTCAGCCCCGTAGAGCGGGAGGCTTTCGTTCCACGTAGCATTTGAGGAAAAAATTATCCAGAAAATATTCCTGGAGCACTTGCAAAATTCAATGTGCCCAGTCCAATGGCGACGAGCATGGCTCTCTGAACTGAGCAAGAACAGTGTAGGCAAATAGGAAAGGAGACAATTAGAGAGAGCTGGACATTTGTCATTTAAGCACTTAATGATTATGCATAATGTTTATTATAAGCAAAACCTTTTGTGGAAAGGGGATAATTAAACAAATTGCTCACATGGAAAACTTCTGGAAAAAGAATTTTAAAAATTCATATTCCTTCTATATTTTGAAAATTAAAAGGATATTCAGGTTTTAAAATTTTTCTTTTAAAACCACGAATTCAAATTTTCAAAAGGTGATGTCCAAGCAAAGCGCTGCAAAATCATTGAAATGTTTGAGTGAACTAATCCAAATTGTGATATTAACATTAGGCTTTAATTTTTTTTTTTCAATATATTCTGAAATGGTACTAAGACTATGGGTTATTTCCCAATCATTTTAATGAAAAAATTCC